TAATTTTTGGGCGAACAAACTTTTTAAGGCCATTCCACACACATTTTGATCTCACAGTTGGTGCAGAAGATGCAAAAAAGTCAAATAGACACATTAAATCTGTTCAACTGATAAAGTGATCATATGTCTTTGCAAGACTTGGATTAAACCGCTCTATTCATATGGATTTGTTTTATGATGCATTTATGACCTTTTTGGATTGTCAAAGTTCTGGTTGCATGGACTGTCAATGTAGGGACAGTAACCTCTAAAATATCCTCACTAAACCAAAGTCTCATGGGTTTGGATGAGTAGACCCTAAATGATGACAAAGCATTCATTTTTGGGTGAAAAAACCCTTTAATTTAATTCCACCCACATTTTTTCCTCACATAGTTGGTGCAGAAGATGCAAAAAAGTCAAATAGACACATATTAAATCTGTTCATCCTATAAAGTGATCGTATGTGTTTGCAAGACTTGGATTAAACTGCTTGATTCATATGGACTTGTTTTATGACGCATTCATGACCGTTTTAGATTGTCAAAGTTCTGGTTGCATGGACTATCAATAGGGACAAAAACCTCTAAAATATCATAATAAGTCCATTCCACACACATTTATTTTTTCAGAGTTGGTGCAGAAGAAAAAGCCCATAGATTGAGTCACGAGACAGCGTATATACATTCACTCTTAAACTACTGAAGAGCAGCATGATGAGTCGCTCACATCAAATGAAGCCGAATCATCCCGGATAGAGCGGCGATCGAACATTTCCGGGGCTGTAATTGCTGTGTGACCCGAGGACAGGATCCGTGTGTCAGTAAGTGTGTGTTAAGCGCCACTTCGCCAGCCGTTCCCCACCTGTCCTGCGCTACAGAAGCAGCATGTCACGGTGAAGAGAAACACTGTCGCTGCTCGCTGACACATCCTAAACCAGAGCGGCATCTTTCCCCTGCTCTAATGAGGATGGAACAGTGTCCGCGGCGCTGTCACGTAGCTCAGCACACGCCGATGAAGGCTCCTCTCCTGCTCGGCCTCCAGGGACCTCATTAGGCTTTTTTCCACCATCTCCGTGCAGGAATCACATCGTCCTTAGGGAAAAATGTAAATAAACGCGTTTGTCACTTAGCACCCTCCCATTTTGATTTTTCCAGGAAGAAAAATTGCATTGCGAGGCTTAATTAGTAAGCGCTGCCATTATGCGTTCTTTATTATGTAAATGAAGTGGCCGGGCACTTGGAACTGTTGTCTCGCAAGCTTTGTGCCAGGTGTTTTCTGGCTGAATGCTGCCGGTGCTTTCTTCATCCTCGCAGCAAAAGAAAAAGACAACTGTACTGTGAAATCGTAGGATGAGCTATAATTATTTGACAGATGATTTTCCCCCTCCCCTGCGATTCATGGCTTGAGTGACGCGGCTGCTTTGATTTTTCTTTGTTGAGGCCGATGGTTTTCCGAATGCTGCCGTCTTAATTCTCCGGGATCCTCACGTCTCCCCCTCTTCCCGAGAACTTGATTCCCGGAAATCCAGGAGTTGGAGCGGTAATACCTGGAACGGGGTGGGCGCGTCTCCCGAGGGGTTAGCGCTTGATTAATATTGAAAATCTATAAGTCTTGGCCCTCAGCGGCAGGTGATGGTGGGTTTATGAGAGGAACTGTGGAATGTTAATCTTGCCCACCTGCTCCCGCCATCCTCGCCAGCGAGGGATGATGATGAGGGAGATCTGGGAAGGATTATGGCTTGGAAATTGACAGTGACTGAGGAGGACTAGGCGGCCGTCTATCCTGGGCTTGAGTTGATTTATACTCAAGGAACTTTTCTCTGTCTCTCTTTGTCTGGCCTGAATCTTGAGCTGTCAGCCAATCAGATTCTCTTTCAGCATCACCTGTCCGTCTCGTCTTAATTTTTTAGTATTGAAGACCGTATGTGAGAGTACAATATCATTTAGATTGTGAAGTTTCGCTTCAGTTGAGATACGAGTACTTCAGTTTTTCCCATGATTCATGGCTTTCAGCGAGACTTTGGCTGATATTTGGCCGTTATATTGGCATAGATGTTCCTCCACACCTGTCACATCCAAAATCTACTGACAAAACTATTTTCAGGTGAAGTCAGCTTTATTTCTATAGTGCTTTATACAATACAGATTGCGTCAAATTGCTTCACAGAGATAAACATGAAAATAACAGAATCAAATATGGAAACTCAACTGTTCAGATTCTCTAAAAGACAAAAGAGTGTCATTATTCAGATCAGTTTAGTTCAGACTTAATCAATCCCCCATATTTTTCCTCTTTTGGAAAGTCATACAAACACTATTGTGGATTTTCCTTTTGGTGCAAAAGTGATATTCGTTGTAGTTTCCGTTCACCACTATAGAAATTTACCAAACTATGACGACTTCAGAAATGTGTAGACCTACATATGCGCCATTGATCTCTCGTGACATCTCCGTTGGACTCTTTTGATTGACTCATTGATTAATGACCATCGTCAAGGGCGATTAAGGAGGATGGTCGTGATGATGTTCTGAGCGTTTCCCAGTATCCTCTCTGATGACGTTCCTCCTCTCTAACTGCACAATCATGTAGGCTAATGTCTTGAGAAGTGTCCTGTTTAGTGACACCAGCCCTCGTCAGTCTCTAAGTTTTGAAGCCGAGCGTCACGCTGTGATGTTGGGTTTTTTGGGAAGGTCGCGCCTCAGTTGTTGGCAGCGGCTCCACCCTGATGTGTTGATGCTTCTCGCACCTTCGCCTGTCAATCTGCCGCTGCACCTGAACACGGGTAATAAACTGGCGCCGCAGCTCAATGACACGCGTGTCAGTTTGGGTCGTGTCTTCGGCACCTCATTGTTCCTTTGAGCGACTGCAGAAACACGCTTCACGCGTTCAGGAGAAATCATCAAATATTAACACGTCACGGGCGATTTTAATGCGAGACTTGCGGCTGTTTGCTCACGTTCGTCAATAAAGCAGCTCGCATGATGTTTCTCATCATCTTCTCATTATTAGGATATTACGTGCTCCTGCGTTATTACTCGTTGCAGTCCCTGTTTTCTGAGGACTATGCTTTCCTGCGCCGAGCTTCTTTGCAAGCTGATATTAGTGTAATGCGTGTCCGCCTGTCCGTCCTGCTTGGGAGGAAATCTTCATCTCGTCTCATTGAGTAATAGTACACACACACACACACACACACACACACTCTTTCCTGATTAAATTTGCATGTCAAATGTGGGCGACGTTTTATACAATATGTAACACTTACGGATGTCAAACCCTTCACTTCGCATTTTCCCGAGTCGCAGACAGACAGCAGAGCCCAACACAACAACAATCATCTGCATTCATGAGAAGCGACAGACGAGTCCAGGTGTCAGTTACCGCTTTAACTCAATCCAGCAGCGCTGCACTGTGCTCACGCATCCGCTAGAACACGGCCCTGTGCACACGGGTAATTGCCAAGGTCTTTCGGATCAATCAGCATTGATCGTACACTTTCCTGCTATTACTTGAGCTGAATGAGCTCTAGAGGAACCGAAAAGAAAGCGCTGCTCATGTGACCTCTGACCCCGGTGGACGGTTTCTGCTTATTTTGGTGAATTTACTTTATATTCAATCATTAACAAATTCCACTCTCACTTTTTTCTGATTGGTCGTGACATTCTGCCGTGGAATGCATTTGGCACTAAACTGCAGTTGATCGTTGTTTCACACCGAACTCCACACTCACATAATAAAACAATTTACACTCAAATCAATATTTCATGTCTGCAATATGTTGAGTATTCAGTATTAATAAGGACATCACAAAATAAAGGCTGATCCTGAACCAGGTTTGTTTTGTGAGCGCTACCATCTGACCACAAAAAATCCTTTTCATATCTGGTGTCTTTTTTGGGGAAAAGGTTCAATTAAAATAAAAAAGATGTATATCAATAAAATGTAATGATTAAACAATCAGGTCTTTTACAAGCCACTTTGATGTAGTATTTTTATCTGTTGCTTTTTTCAGGCCAGCAATGGATCCATCCAAATCTCAAGCAAATCTGTCAAGCAAACCCATTTATTTCCCGTGTCTTCCAGCCATGTTCACACTTAATATTTCATCTGTCTCTCTTTTTTCCCCCAATGCCACAAGCAATGATAAGAGATCCAGAATACTTTACTTTTCCTCCTTCACACACACACACACACACACACACTGAAATAAATTGATTATGGGGTGTGAGATTTCCAGCGTGCCGTTTATCAGCGGTGCAATTATTCCAGAGCAGTGGAAATGTAAAGATGTGAACCCAGCTAAAGGAGAATTTTTCTTAATTTTTCTTCTGTGTTAGGGGCATTTTTACCTTCTTTCATTGATGTTTTTTGCATTGCATGTGCATCAATTATTTAAATGACCTCACTGATCTGATCTGAATAATGACACTGTTGTCTTCTGTAGAGCAGCTTTACAGCTGAAATTGATTCATAATTGATGATTTTTACAACATTAACACTGTTATTTTCCTTGTTAATGTGAAACTGCTTTGAAACTATCAGTATTGTATAAAGCGCTTTAGAAATAAACGTGGCTTGACTTGTTTTGGGGATGTTGGAAGTATTTTAAAGCGTTTCATCCGATTCACCTGTTTAGTTGGCAAGGGACTGTCCATATGGAAATGAATTGAATTTAATCGTTGAGACTGTCCGTATGTAAACGAGCGTCTCAAACGGCGTAGCAATTAGACGGATTGAATCGGAGTGAAAAGCGCCCTGCAGTTATCGATTAAACCCACTTGAAGTCGCGCTCGCGTGCCAGCTGTGCTGCGGGTGTATTTTTGGGGCTGGGGGTGAAGGTGAACCACCCACGTCTCCCCCGACTCCTCGAGCTGTGGCTGTTTGGCTAATGAACCGCTCAATTTAGCCAGTGACGTGCCGCGAGCAGAGATGTGCGTTCTGACTGGCTGAGCGCTGCTGACATCACGCCGGCCAGCCGTTGATTTGCTGCTGCGGGCGAGAGTCTGAGCCATGGGCTCCGGTGTTTGGGAGCAGACGGAGGAGCTCACTCTGCAGACCGAGCCACGGAGAGGAGGAGGTGTGCTTTAGGAAGCGCAGCAGCACATGCAGTCTATGGGAACTAACCCTCTGAGCGATGGAAATAATGACCGCTGGCATGCGTCAGGTGAGTGCAGACAGGTAACGACTGCGCCACAGAGAGTTTGGCGGTGAAACTGCTCGAGGCAGTGTGTTTTGAGTGAAAACGGGGCTCGTTTCTGAGAGGTGAATGTGTGCTCTGGTGCGTTCCAGGACATCGTGGGTCGCTTCTGAGCCGTTTGCTGTAATAGATGCTGTGAAGTGCGCTTGATCTGTCTGACGACGGGTGCATTGTTGTATTTCACTGTGTGTGTGTGTGTGTGTGTGTGTGTGTGTGTGTGTGGAGAAGGTTTGTTCTTAGTCTTTGTGGAGGCGTTTGATCGCTCGAGCGTCTAATGAAGCGCATCCAAGTGTCGTATCAACACCGGCGCTGGAGAAAACAGATTTAGAAAGGCTTTTCGTTGCTACTTTCAGTTAAATGTCTGTTTTTGACCTAAAAAGTGTGTTTTTTTTTATTATTTATGCATTTAAGATAGAATTACAGACTCTCAAAGTTCATATCATGAGACTCACTTTTACTAAATTTGTTTATTTATATAATAATCAGACATTTTTGTACTGTTTTTTAGGGATCTGTCAGTCGTCTGAGCATAAGCGACTGAAATAATGTCGCGGTGCAGGTGGGGCTTAATAAAGACGCCGCGGTTATGAATGCATGAAGGAATAAATGCAGATATTACATGCAATCAAAGAGCACAGATTACACTTGATGACACGTCTGATATGACATGTGATTGTTCCTTTTTAGGTTAAAAATCTGCTAAATGCATAAGTAAGTGCTACATTGACTGCTAATTTTTGCGACAGCTATTGATTTTTAAACAATAATTCCCAGGTTTGAGACGTGGCTGAAATTTCACGTCTCGCTTCACAAACGCATGCAGAACAAACAGCTTATTTGTCACCGCTGACACAATCAATACATGTGCGATAGCAACAGCTCTGTCTCGTTTCAGGAGCATTAGGGCCGTGAGTTCAGACTGATAGTGCCATCAGAAGGAATAAATGCAGATATTACATGCAATCAAAGAGCACAGATTACACTTGATGACACGTCTGATATGACATGTGATTGTTCCTTTTTAGGTTAAAAATCTGCTAAATGCATAAGTAAGTGCTACATTGACTGCTAATTTTTGCGACAGCTATTGATTTTTAAACAATAATTCCCAGGTTTGAGACGTGGCTGAAATTTCACGTCTCGCTTCACAAACGCATGCAGAACAAACAGCTTATTTGTCACCGCTGACACAATCAATACATGTGCGACAGCAACAGCTCAGACTGATAGTGCCATCAAACTGTGTTTTCTCTTTCCCGTTTCATTTTCCCATTTTCCCAACGTCTCATTCAGACATCGCTTCTGTCTCGCCTATTAGCGCTGAATGTGGATCCTCAGATGCTCTCAAACACCAAACAGATGCTTTACGGGAAAACAAACACACACTGAGGTTTCCAGACGCTGGCAAGCTTTATTTCTGTAGTGCTTTATACAATACAGATGGTTTCAATGATGCAAATATGAGACGAATCTAAATTCTGCTTCTCTGAAAGACAACATTGTCATTTAATTTAGTGTGAGATTAAGAGTTTTTGTGTGATATTATCTGTGTGGTCATCGACTCTTTAAAGGTGCTGTCGTGCATCAGTAAGCGTATGGTGTCTCCAGATCCTGGCACGCGTCCTTTCCTCCTCTTTGTCCCCAGTCGAGGCTCCATCTTTGCTGGATTGGACATCCGGCTCGCGTCCAGCAAGCTGTTTCTCTCCGAATGCTGTTTGAGAGAGAAGTGTTTGCAGGATTGATTTGGAGGGATGTTTGTGAGCGCAGCGTCACTCCCACACGCCGCGATTTGACAGCTACCTTGTGCAACATGATTGTCAGAGTGTGTGTGTGTGTGTGTGTGAGAGAGAGAGACTGATGACAGCGCGCACACACACACACACACACCCCGGGGCTACAGATCTCATGAATATCAATCAGCCGCGGACATCAGCCTCTTAAATAATGCAGCAGCGGCGGCCGTTCGGCTGATAAATGCGCTTCATTGTCAGCGTGGAGTGTTTGCGTAGCTGCGCTCTCCGTTCCACACACGCTTTCATCTCGCGGAAAAAACAGGCTGCTTTTCAAAGCGGTCCGAAAGTGCAAAACTCGCAGCCTTTTGTCTCAAAGCTGACGTATAATTTCAACCCCTTTTGACTAGAATCTCGCTGGAGTTTGTGATCGTTAAAGCCATGGCAACTCGGAGCTCATTAAGGATTGTTTAGTAAGATTTCACCAGAAGCTGTTTTAGAATTATCATACGTGACCCTGGAGCACAAAAGCAGTCGTAAGTAGCACAGGTATATTTGTAGAAGTAGTCAACAATACATTGTATGGGTCTAAATTCATGCCAAAATTGTTAGATTTTTTTGCACCCTCAGATTCCAGATCTTCAATAGTTGTATCTCGGCCAAATATTGCTAAGAACTTCATTTGGACAACTTTAAAGATGATTTTCTCAATATTTAGATTTTTTTGCTCCCTCAGATTCCAGATCTTAAATAGTTGTATCTCGGCCAAATATTGTCCTATCCTAACAAACCATACATCAATGGAAATATTATTTATTCAGCTTCCAGATCATGCATCAATCTCAATTTCACAGAATTGACCCTTTTGACTGGTTTTGTGCTCCAGGGTCATGTATGTAAAGTGTAAAAAATCTTGTATAATCATAACTGCTTTTTAAAAACGAGCTACTTTTGTTGTATTTATGCAGCACTTGTATATTTTGTTTTGAAATGAAAATAGCCTGGGTTGCTGACATGGTATTAAAAACTGCTCTACTACTAACGAGTTCCCCCATAATAACGTCTGACCCGTGTTCTGTGTCTGCAGGCTCCTGAAGGACATGAGCGCTGTGTCGGCAGTGATGGGGCCCCGGGGCCGCTGCAGGGGACATGGGCACATGCCACGCCACTGAAAGCCTCCAGGGTTCGGTCTTCACGGCAGCGCGCAGCAGAACATCGGGTAACGCCGCTGCTCCTCTTCTGTTTATCGCCTGTGTTTCACGCATTATGAAAACAATGCTGATCGTTTTCCTGCATAAAAAGACCCTCGTTACTGCAGTCAAACACAGATTTCGACGTTAATATTTGAGCTGGTGTTCATTAGGCGACAGCGGAAAGAAACGAAACGAAGCTTCTGATGTCAGGAAACTGAAAACTAACTAACTGGAATGAGTCCTGAATGTGTGTTTTGAATTTAACTTGCATTAGTTAAACGCTAAAAATACTGGATTAAAGTAAGGCACATTATGCATTTTTTTTTTAATGCATTGGTCAATTTTGGGCTACTTGGCTTTTCGTAACATGTTTATTTCAGACTAGTGGAAAGAAAACATCCAGAATACACATTTAAATATTTATTTTATTGGACTTTATTTATTTGTGCCTGTAGATTTCAGTTCCAGTCCATATCTTTACAGTTTTTCTTCTCTCTCTATATTCTGTAGGTTTGTTCATATTTCATTTATACAACATTTAATTCCTAAAATCATGGTGAAAATGTGTTTGTTTTCGCATTTTCTGATTTTTGATAAAAAGAGAAATCCAAAAGCCCCTCTGGAAAAACTTTTAACTCTAATTTGACGACAAAACCAAACCAGCATTATGAACCTGACTTTATCCAATGTTCAGATTTATCTTCTGGAAATGTATGCAAATTAATGCATATTTAATTAGATAATGCATCATTTGCATATTTAAATATAACATTTCAGAAAACTT